GTAAACTTAATTTATTGATTAAAGCGATGTGGGATGGTGAAAGAAAGGGAGAGGTCACAGATGACTCTAGAGTCGGGGGGGTGGGGCTGGGCACCTGCAAGGATGAAATCATCATTGAGATGGGAAAGACTGGGAGAGGGCAGGGGTGAGAATAGTGTTTGTTCTGTTCTGGAGGTGAAAACTGAGAAGCCTTCAAGATATTGGATGCGCTGAGTAGGCAGCAGAATACACAAGACTGCAGCTGGAAAGGATGGGCTGAAATGATAAATACAGAATCATACAGGATTCATGTGTGTGATCATATGTCATTTGTATGACTATTTTTATTGTCTGTCCCTCCTGCAAAGACTATAAGCTCCATGTAGCCAAGGGCCATGTCTGTCCACAGCCAAAAAGGTGCCTGGCACTCAGTAAATATTTACTGAGAAAAGAAGTTGCCCAACAACTCCCTCAAGAATAGCCACACAGCCCACACAGCCTCTCACAACCACAGTGCTGAGCCCAACCAGTCCAAATCAGGGCCCTGGTGCTGTCAGTCCACCCTGGGCTCGAGATTCCAAAACGTAAGTGGAGACATCTGGCACATCACAGTCAGATATTTGGGTTTCAGTCCTGCCACATTCTCAAAGGGTGGAGCCCGGCAAGAGATTTGCCAGTCCCATCACCTCTATTCCCTGCAGTGGCTGAAGACCAGGCTGTTCTACCCAATTCAAGGGCAGAGATGTACATCTAGAGTGGCAGGAACTGCTCCAAAGGAATAAATCTGCAAGTAATCTCTAAAGTATGCAAGGACACACCCCCCAACACCAGGGGGAGAGGAACACAGACCCCCTGGGAATGTATTAAGAGTAAGGGCAGTTATGTTAGGCTGGACCACAGAATACCCTGGTGGGCCCAGGATCCAGAACTGGAAGTTGGCCTGGTAGGGGAGCTGTGGGCACTCCCTTGCTGGGTTGTAGCTCCCCCTGGCGAGAGCCAGGTCTTGGGGCAGGATAGGCTAGTCAAGGCAATAACACACCTTGGTGTATGTGTGGGCCAGGTCAGGTCTGGGGGTAGGTAACTTAGTTAGGACTGAACTAAATTGCAGCATTTGTGGGTATGCAGAAGAGTCAGATGGGATACAGGACAGACTGGACTAGGGCTGGAGGCAGGCCTGGCAGATGTTATTTTGGGGTCACCCTGACTAAGCAGCAGCACCCCAGGTGTACACGCAGACCCAGGCCTGCGGCAGGCTGGGCTGCATTAGCCTGCAGCACCCACTAGTTCATGCGAGATAGGGCCAGGGCAGAACTGACCAGGCAGTTGCATCCACTGACAAATGTGCTGGCTGGTGCAGGAGATGAACCAAACCTGACCCTGTACTGACTGACACACATGAGTCAAGTCTAAGGTCACCCTAGGTGAGGTTTCATGGGGGACTCCCCAACTAGACCACTGGACTCAAAGCCCAACCACAGGGAAAATCACAATATATGCAATCTGATCTTGGAGTGCATGTGTGGGTACCGGGCCTCCTCAGCTGCTATTGCCTGTGCTGTGGACAGCATGCCCAGATGCACATAGGGGACATGACAGCCAGCTCATCCAGCCGGGCAGATGTCAAGTGCCACGTCAGAGGATGGAAAGCAGAACAGGTTGGACCACTCTCCTGGCCAAGCTCTGAAACATGTTACTGGGTCTGAGGATGCAGTAAGGTAGACTTAGTCAGCCAAGAGACCTTGGAAAGGTTTTCTCAACTCTGGTACAATGAAGCAAACAACATCTCAAAACTATCAAAATCACTCAAGTAACACCTCTGGAATAATTTCTCCCACAATGGTGTGTCTAAGGCATCATCAAAGGACCATCCCCTCATCCCCAAGTGTTGATGTAGTTTGACAGCCGGGAGTGGTCCCCTCTTCTTCCTTCCCTGTAGACATAGGAAGAAAAAAACCTGAAATATTTGTCCCACTCACCTTCTTCCATGCCTTCATGTTCCCCACCCTAATTGGAGACCCATTTGCGCATGCAACCCTTTCAACTGCGTAAGCAATATTTTAAAAAAGAGTAAGTACAGAAAAAGATGTAGTTAAATCAAACAAAACTTGATGAGAGATGAGAGGAACACAGAATCCTTCTGCCAAATGCAAGAATCCTTGACAAATGGGCCTTGATCCTCTGTTTCACAGGTCAAGCCACTGAGAGAAGGGAACTAAGGATAAAGAATGGCAGTACAGGGGGCAGGATTTCACTTCGCTACACTTGCAGCTTTGAATAGTTTCCTTTGTGAAGATGATAAAACAGCTCTTGGAAGTGTGACCCAAAAAGGTCTGATGACTTACCCAGGGTCACTGAGCTATAGGCCCAGGACCAGAATTCAGGGTCTAGCTCTATTAATGGTGTCTTCCCATTATACCAATGACGAAGGAAAGGTAAGCATGCAGTGGGTTCTGCTGGAGATTAGGGCATTACTCTGACAAACAACACCATGTCCTTGTCAAAGGGTAAGACGCAGATGCTACAGGAATGCCAGGTGCATGTTCTCAAGTTAAGATTCCTTTGCGTGAATCAAATTTGTCATCGCACAGAGTTCCTCTTAGCATTGGACTTTATGAATAAAGCTATTCATAGGTAAAGCAGGGAAGTAAAATAGACAGATTAAAAGAAATAACAGATTAAAAGAAATCCAGACATACACTTTAGTAAAATGTCTACATGGACAATTCAAATGGAAGGATGAAGCCTATTAGCTTTCTAAAAATCAACAGATATTGAGTGCTCCCTCTGTATAACAGGTTGTGCTGAGTAGGTGTGTACTGGGCTATAGGACAGAGCAAGGGACAGAGGCAGACACACAAGGATAACAGAGAAACCAGGCTTCAAGGCTCGCAATGTAGCTGCTGAAACAAAATTGCAAACATCAAAGACATAACTAATAACCAGGAGCAGGTCAGGGCTAAGGAAGTGGCACAGATAATGTGTCTGCAAGAGTTCTCAGAAGGCACTCACTTCTCCTGGGGTTAGCTGGCAGCAATGGTAGGCAGGCTGGGGATCTATCAGCCAGGGTGCTTCCAGAAAGACACAGGATTTGGAGTACAGCTTAAGAAGAAAGGGAACCAGCAAGAGCAAACACTGACTTAAAGCCTGAAAGGAGAAAGAAATCAGGGGTTCAAAGGAGCAGCTTGACTTGACAGTTACAGTTCTTGCAGGAGTAGAAAACACAGAAAGAGTTTGGGGCATAGACACTGCAGTTTGAAACAGGTTAATGAAACAGACATCCTCTCCCAGTGTGACAAACTTGCCCTTGGTGGGGGGCGCACTTCAGCTCGAAGTGGTGACAAGGGGGCAAAGTCAAGCAGGAAGGAACAAGCTGGCCAGATGTGCAGGCCTCAGCGATGGGCTGGGAAACAGAGGGCAAGGAAGCAGACAGTCATCTAGAGCATTCTGTGAAGGACAGACTTGAGCAGCTACAAGAACTGCAGGGAAAAAGTAGAGAGCTAGCTGGTAGGGAGAGATGCATAGTTGGGGTGGAGCTGATCAACATCAAAATCAACATCAGCATCCAGGGTCCACGAAAGACATGGTTCTGGGTACCAGTCCCAGGCGGCAGCTGACAATCAAGTGCAGGGGCCTCCCCAGTGGACAAAGCCATGGGTTTGAGTAGGAATTCTCTGGAAGGGAATGTAATGAGAGAAAAAGAATGTTCAAACTGAATCAAGATGGGGGGTTTCACCCCTATGAGTGAACAGTGACTAGGAGTGACCTGAGACGAAAACAAAGAGGTGGGGAGTCAGAGATGAGGGGAAGGTTTCTAGTATCAGCTAGGAGGGCTACCTACAAAAATAATAAACATTTGTGGAATGAATGAATGAGAGGAAGGAAGGAAGCTCTTAAGTTTGCCAGTCAACTCTCTCTACTCACGGGGCAGGGACTGGGTGGGGGTGGGGGAGTGGGGGTGCTGCTTTCAGACATGAGGATTTGGGTGTTCAGTCTCACCCCCTCCACCCTACAGCCATCCTGTCCACCACACAGATCTTCCGCAGGGCAGACAGGAAACTCCGATTAGAATTTGCATTTCACTCATAACTCCTTACCCAGAGGCTGGAAGAGGTGGCTGGATTCGAGTCCCACTCACACAACTAGGCAGTTTGTGTGACTCTGGACAAATGGGCCGACCTTTGGGGATCTGTCTGGAACCTACAGATGTTTTAGTGTTGATCCTGAGTCCTCAAGTCTATGACCTTACTCTCCAAAGGTCCTTGCAACACTCTCAGAGGAGGAAATGAGTGCAAGATCCAGAAAATGACCATCGGCCTCACTTGGAGGGGTGCACCGAGGAAGTGAGCCAGTACAGCCCGCCCCGCAGATCGCAGGCAGCGGGCGCATCCCACTTCCCAGGCCTGGCAAGGAGCCCCGCGAACCCGGGCGAGGGCGCCTCACACTCCGCACCCCGCCTTGCCCCAAACTCCCACAAGGCCGGGAGGAAAAAGCCCTGCGGTGGCAAAATAAATAAATAAATAAATAAAAATAATAAAGATTTCTTTCCCAGAGTCCTGCGCTGCCTTTGCAAGTCGGATTCCGGCAGACAGGACCTGCAGCCTGATAATGACACAGTCAGTCTGTAGGGAAGGAGTGCCCGGCTGGGGCTCGCCTCACTCGCCCGGGGCCGGCCGTGCCGCGCCCCGACGGGCAGAGACGTCCGACCCCGGCCCGGACTACCAGGCCCGCGGCGCTCCTGCCCCCCGGCCCCGGCCATCCTCCGTCGCCCCACTGCGGTCTGCCAATGCTTCCTGCCCCCGCCCCCCACCGCCACCCGGAGCTTCCCAGTTGGAGCGAGTTGCTCTCGGCGCCCCGCAGTTGCTCCAAGTCGGTTTCCCGGGCCACAGGCGCTGAGGAGGGGAGCCTCGTCCGGCTCCGAGCCGCCCTGGGTAAGCCCAGGCGCCCGGGGCCGTGACGGGTCGCTCCGGGAGCCCCAAGGCTCCGGCGGGGAGCCCGTGGCCCGCCTCGTCCCCCGTGGTTACCTGCTCGCTTGCGGGGGTGTCCCGGCGCGGTCGGCCTCTCCCCGCGCTGTCTCCCCACGCAGTTGCCCATGCTGGCTCCTCAGCCGGGCCCCATGCACCGGAGGCGGCGGGGTGGTCGGCTGGTCCGCGCCCCTGCCCTGCGGACGGCGGCGTCCCGGGTCAACGGCTCCTGCCGCCCGGCATCGGACGCTCCCGATCCGCCTGCCCCTCGGGGGCGCGCTCTGCTCCGGCGCCGGCTTCGCCACAAACTTTGCGGACCAGGGCAAGGAGGGAGGGAAGGCAGGGAGAGAGAGGCGGCCGACTCCCCAGCCCCGCTCTCAGGTGGCCGGGCCAGGGGGGCCCGCGACGGTGCCCGGCCGGAGACCGGCTCCGCTGACGGGGCGGAGAGAGGGGGCGGGCACGGCCGCAGCTACTCCCGGCTCGCTCGGGGCGCCCCGCGGGGGCCGGCCCCCCGCAGCCTGTCACTCACCTGCCTAACCCCGCCCCAGGCCGGCCCCGCTCCCTTCCTCGGGCTCGCGGGACCCGCGTCGCCACCGCCCCCCGTCCCAGGTGCGCATGTGACCCGACGGCGCCGCCCCCTCGGGCCGGGCCGGATTTTCTCATTGGCTTCACCCAGGGTGCGAACCGCCCCCTCGGCCACACCCAATCAGGTGCCCAGCCCGCAGCCCCCGTCTCCCGGGCAGCCGGGCGCGGAATTGTTCGCCCTCAATGGCCCCCGGCTGCGTGCCCAGCCGCCGCCTTCGCTCCCCGGCGCCGCCGCCCCGGCCCCAGGCCCCGCCCCCGGGGGAGGGGCTCTCCCTCCCTGGAACGGCCCGACCCGAGGCGGCGAGCACGTGATCCGGAGAGCGCCCCGCCCCCGCAGCTCGCGCCCCGCGATTGGCTTCGGGGACGCGTGCGCACTGGGGCCCGTCTGGCGCCTCCGCCTCCTTCCCCTCCCACGGTCTCTGGCTCGAGTCATGGCTGCCGTCGCCGCTCTGGAGGCGGCGGCGCCTCCGGGCGCCCTATGGGGCCTCGTGCAAGACTTCGTCATGGGTCAGCAGGAGGGCCCCGCTGCCCAGGTGGCTGCAGGTACGGACGACCGCACCGAGCGCCTTCCGCTTGGGAGCCGCCAGGAGGGAGCGGCCTCCGCACGGATGCGGGGCGGGAAGGGAGTGATGGGCAGGGTGACTTTGAGAGATTAGTTTTGGGGCTGCTTGGGGAGCGCGGTGCTGCAGAGGCTTAGCCAGTGGCAGAGTCGCTCGGATCTTCCTGGGTGCGCCTTTACCCTCTGCGTCACTTCACAGCCGATGGCCAGCTGTCGTTGCCTTTCCCTGATGGGGCTGCGGCCTAGGAGGGCCAGAGGCTCGTGCCTGGCTGCGGGGCTCGGACTCGGGAGTCCAGGGGGACGAGCTGCGCGCTCGGCGAGACAGCGCTGCTCGTGGGAAGCTAGCGAGCATGGGGAGGTTGCGTGGCGCGGCCACCGCGAGGGACGGTAATTGCAACCGGAGACGCGGCCACTAACTCCTGCAGACTTTCCCTCCATTTTTTAGTAACGTTCCGGATTAATTTTGCATCATGGCTTTTTTTTTTTTTTGGTGGGGGGAGCGCCGTTTGTTTTCATCCTCCTCCCAGACCTCCCTGTCTCCTGCTTTGAACCTGTTCAGGGACTCATCTGATAGTTCGTCAAAGATTGAATATAAATAGTTCTAGGTCTTTGGCTTCTAAGATATAGTTCGTTCAGGGGGAAAAAAGGCAATCTAAAAAGTTGGTGAATTTGGGAAGGACTGGATCTGGCGTGTAGCTAATACAAAATACAGACGAGTGGAGTTTGCAGGAAGTTTTTGTATACTTGGGGGGTAAGTAAAAGACATCGTTTACTTGGAAATCTTAGAATAATGTAAGCAATAGTGAATCTGCCAGGGACATTGCACATTCAGTCATTCCAACATGCTGCTGATCAGTAGGACTATAAGTACAAGTCAGATCTGTGCCCACCCAGAGCCAGTAACGTGGAGGGAGAGATAACCATGCTGAAAGAGCTGAGAGCTGGAAACGTCACAGCGCGTGTGTCTGATGCTGACCCCCAGGCTTTCATACACATATATATAAGTATATATGATTTTTTTTATTTTAAAAGTAGAATTGGAAATAGAGATCAACAGTTTTTCCATGCACTGGCTTATTCCCCAAATGGCTGCAGTGTCCCAGCCACCCTGGAACCAGGATCTGGGAATTCCATGCTGGGGTGTCCCATTTGGACTGTGCTACTGCTTTTCCAGATCGGTTAGTGGAGCAGCCAGGACATGCACTGGCATTAAAGGGGATACAGATATCACAGGAGGGGGTTACATCACTACCGTTCAATGCTGGCCCCAAAACGTAATATCTTAAAGCTGTGAATAAAGTATGGTGTGTTAACAGTGTTTACAATTACAAGTGCAAAGTGCAAAGTGTTGGGGAACCCAGTGCAATGATTAGGTGGCTAATCCTCCACCTGCAAACACTGGCATCCCGTAAGAGTGCCAGTTTGTGTCCCAGGTGCCCCACTTTCCATCCAACTCCCTGTTTGTGGCCTAAGAAAGCAGGATGACTCAAAGACTTGGGACCCTGGCACCCAAATGGGAGAACTGAGAGAAGCTTCTGGCGTTGAATCATATCAGCTCTGGCTGTAGTGTTCTTTGGGGGTGTGAACTGGTGTATGGAACATCTTTGTCTCTCCTTCTTTCTGCAAATCTGCCTTTCCAATAAAAATAAGTCTAGAAAGAAGGTACAAAGTGTTAACAGTGTCTTTTTCTCCCAGTGTTTTTTATTCAAGTCTTTGGGGCGGTGGCATGGCATAATGGCATGCCACCTAGGGCCCTGACATCCCCTATCACCCAGGTTCAGTTCTCTGCTGCTCCAACTCCAATCCACTCCCTGCTGATGTACTGTAGCAAGCAGCAGAGAACGGCCCACGTGCTTAGGCCCCGGCCCGGTGCTGGGCTCCTGCCTTTTCCCCAGTCCACCTCTGGCTGTTACAGCCACTTGAGGAGCGAACCAGCAAACGGAAGATCTCTTTCTCATTTCTCCCTCTAACTGCCTTTTTTTCTTTCTTTCTTTCTTTCTTTCTTTCTTTCTTTCTAAGATTTATTTATTTCCATTGGAAGGCAAATATACAGAGAGGCGGAAAGACAGAGAGGAAGGTCCTCTGTCTGATGGTCCGCCCCCAAGCGGCCGCAATGGCTGGAGCTGAGCCAATCTGAAGCCAGGAGCCTGGAACTCCTCTGAGTCTCCCACGGGGCTGAAGGGTCTCAAAGCCGTAGGCCATCCTCGACTGCCCTCCCAGGCCACAAGCAGGGACCTGGATGGGAAGTGGAGCTGCTGGGATTAGAACCAGTGCCCATATGGGATCCCAGCGCTCAAGGCGAAGACCCCAACTGCTACGCCTTTGCGCCAGGCCCTGTAACTGCCTTTTAAATAAATATAAATCTTTTAAAATTTTCAATCATACAGCAACATCTAAAGAATTTATCAGGAGCACACATATACTTACCACCTAATCCTGCCATTAACATTTTCATAGAATTTGGCTTATTAAATGCCAAACTGTAGAAAACCAATTAAATTGCAGATATCAGTATACTTCCCTCTAAATACTTTGACATGCATATAATTGACCAGAGTTGATGATTTATTTTTGTGTAAGATTTACATCCAATGAAGTACACAAACCTTTAATTCACTGATTCTGACAAGTACATTCACTTGCATAATCCAGACTCCTACCAAGAAAATAGTACATTGTTTGTCATTTGTAACATTTCTTTCACATTTGTACATTGAGAAAACACTAATTTATTTTTCTGATTCAGGATATACTTTGAGAAGATAGCCTGATCATTTTTGTGAAATTTAGTGGGGCAGGGGCAGACATTGTGTCACTGCAGGATAAACCTCCACTTGAGACACCCAGCGTCCCATATCAGAAGGCAGATTCAAGTCTTGGCTTCTCTGCTTCCAAACGAGCTTACTGGTAATGCATCCTGGCAGGCAGCAGGCGAGGACACCAGTGTTTGTGGCCCTGCCACCATGTGGGAGACCCAGATTGAGTTCCAGGCTCTGACTGGCGTTTGGGAACTGAACCTGGGAGATCTCTTTTTCTCTGCAGTCTGCCTTCTATGAAAACAAATGAGCATTTCAGAGGAAAAACAAACTTTTTTTTTTAAATTTATATTCTGCTCAGCAGAGACTATGTAACATTGGCTCCATTGTAATTAATTTAGCCCTCAAAAAAAGAAGGTGGTTACAGTATAACAGGTAATTTTGAAGGGAGTTGATGGGATTGATTATACATATTCTTGGATTCCAGGTGGAGGAATTTGAATTGTAGATTCTTGAGAAAGGGAGCCATAAGGTGAAAGTGAATTTGACAGGATTAAGTTAGTATTCTCAGTTTTATATCACAGCCCTAGTTAGAGTTGGTGATGCAGTTTTGAACAAGATGTGCTTTAGAATCCCCTTGCTAAATCAAGCTTTGTTAGTGCAACACGGGCCTGCTAGCTTCCTGTTGTGGCCACAGGCAGCAGTGCTACAGACTGTAAATGCAGACAGACTGCTGTGATTACAGCAGCTGCTGCCAGCTGTGTGATGCCCCTGGGGTCAGCTGCGAAGCAGGTGCAGGTGATGCAATGAGAAGGACCCAGGCTTTCTGAACCTGTCTGTTCAACACTTGGTCCACGCCCCACTGCTCTCCCATCATTCTGGTTGCAGGCAGAATGTTCCCTATTTCCTGAGTACCTTTCTTTCCTCTTCACGAATTCTGTCTAATTAGATCTGTATGTCAAGGCCAAGGTAAGCGTGTGTGCCCTCACACCTGGAACTCACTGATTGTCTCAGCTAGTCAGCAGCACACACTTCAGAATTCAGAATGTCTGTAGTACTTCTCAACCACTCCTGTACTTATTAGCAAACTAATATTAGCTGTGTCTGAATGCATATCTGCATTCTGTTCTCTCAATCTCCTGTAAGTAGCATAAGTGGGCATGCAGTAAAAACTATATTAAGTGAATAGCTTGAGAGATGTTGAAAGAAGAATTTGGAATCTAAATACATACGACCTTCAAGAAGTTCATGAAAAATGTATTACTTAAAAATGGGGTTCAAATTTTTGGATACCAAAATAAACTTGTAAAAAAAAAATTTGTTTTGGGCCCAGCATGGTGACCTTGTGTACTGATCCTCTGCCTACAGTGTCAGCGCCCCACGTGGGCACCGCTCCTGATCCAGCTCCCTGTTAAATATGCCTGGGAAGGAAGCAGAGGATGGCTCCCGGGCCCCTGCACCTGTGTGGGAGACCTGGAAGAGCTCCTGGCTTCCGATTAGCTCAGTTCCAGCCATTGCAGCCATTTGAGGAGTAAAGTAACAGATGGAA